GATCAAAATCAAGTTTAGTCTGTTTCCACACTTTTTGAAGGTGATATTTTTTTATGCATATAATTTGCACACTTTCTCAATATGAAAGACATCCATCTTCAAAATGAACAGCATCTTTTTAAATTATTTTTGATCATGAAAATGATGTTATGTGACATGACAACCAAGAACCCAAAACTCTCTGAATTCCTGTTTAAAATATAATCTATGCTATTATAGATGCAAATATGCCTACAACACCCTCCCCCTTTTACAGGGTTATTGCGGGTTATTAAAATTCACTTAATAATTAGTTTTTACATTAATGAGGAAAAATTACATCAATGCCTTATTTGGCATTAAAATCCATTTAATGTGATTATCATGGCATTTAAAATGCTTTTTAAAAATTTTTAAAAATGCGTTTATAAAAACAATTTCACCAGATGTATTATATCAAGATATATTTGCGTAAAACTGCTTCCTGTTGATCATAAAGTCGTATGTTCGGAAAAGAAGCTCGAGGCGGAGAAAAAGCTAGAGAATGGGGGGAAAATGCAAATCTTAACAAAAGTGGCTGGAAAATTAGGAATTTGGAACATGGTTGCCATGGCTGTTGACTGTAAAGTTGACGAAGGGTTTTTGTGTGGATAATATATATATATATATATATATATATATATATATATATATATATATATATACACACACATATGTGTCATGGGCATTAGAATTATTTCTAAGAGCATTAAAAAGCATTAAATTTGAATTACTCATTCCTGTATAAACCCTGTTTTAAGATCCTCTGTGCGCACTATTTAATAACGCACACATTTTTAGATTATACTGATTGTTAAAAGTTAAATTTAAGTAATTTTTTTTGTATTCAATTCACTGATGAATATAGACCCCTGACGAAAGTTCACGTCGCTGTTCAAAGGAAATATTTGATGAGGTTGATTTGAAGTAATAAAGGTTTCTTTACCCAGAGGTGTCAAAAGCATTGATATTTCGCACTCAA